TAATATAAGGCCTCTTACTTGGCTGGAGCATTGGACTAGACCAGGGGTAGGCAACCTTGGCTCTTTTATGACTCGTGGACTTCAACTCCCAGAATTCCTGAGCCAGCATGGCTCAGCTTGGAAACCTTTCCCTTTCCCCTCAGCATGGCTGGCTCAGGAATTCTGGGAGTTGAAGTCCACCAGTCATAAAAGAACCAAGTTGCCTACCCCTGGTCTAGAAGACCTCCAAGGTCCCTCCCAACCCTATTCTATGTTGTAATGTTTTAGCACAGGAAGATGCGGTGATTGGCACAAGTTACTTACAAGTTGGAACTTGGTTTACACTGGCTTGCCTTCCTTGCAAGCGTCCCTTGTCATCCACACACCAACAGTTGCGAAGATCAAAATGGCCCAAGGGGATACTAGAATCACTGTAAGACCCTGGATAATGGTTAAGGCGACCTTGAAGAAGCTGCCAAAAAGTGAACGGGTCCAGTAAAGCGTTCTCAGATATCTGTAATGTATTGCCCTTCAGCAGATCTTGAGGAACAGCTTCGAAAGATGAGTATCTGAAGAATTCTGGGAAAACATTCTGGTGGCCAGCTGTGTAGAGAATTTTGATAAAATCTTCAAAGCTTTGCTGGGATCTTGCCTTGTAGTCGAGGAGTATGTTTGCCAAGTCAGGGATAGCGAGCACATTGTTATTGTTGTTCTGGGTATTCCACCTTTGATACCACTCAAAAGCTTGTTCAGGTGGACCATTGCACTGGATTGGCCTCCACTGTCCATCAAGACTGCACTGAGGCACGTAAACGTTGGACAGTTGAGTCAGAGCAGTGGGATTCAATAGAAACTGCTGAGCAGATCTCAGAAAAGCTTGACCAGCTGCAAGATGACAGTCACTTGGACCTAAGAAAGAACCAACTTGATAAATACAAAGTCACTACCGTATTTCCCCGAAAATAAGACCCAGTCTTATATTTTATTGTTTTTCCCTCCCAAAAAAAGGCAGTAGGTCTTATTTTCGGGAGATACCTTTTTTCCCGATACTTGCCTTGCCTTGCAGCAGCGAATCGCTCAGTTTCCAAGCACCCCAGAGGCGCCCAAACACTTTCCCCCTACCTCTGCCACTGTGCATGGACTTACCTGCTCTGTGCCAAGTGGCCGGCAGTCTGCAGTCAGCCCCCATGCACTTGCTGCCGCTTGTGCTGGCCATGCCCCCTGGGCTTATATTTGGGATAGGGCTTATATTAAACCTCTAAAAAATCAGGCTAGGGCAGGGGTAGGCAACCTTGGCTCTTTTATGACTCGTGGACTTCAACTCCCAGAATTCCTGAGCTAGCATGGCTCAGCTTGGAAACCTCTCCCTTTCCCCTCAGCATGGCTGGCTCAGGAATTCTGGGAGTTGAAGTCCACGAGTCATAAAAGAGCCAAGGTTGCCTACCCCTGGGCTAGGTCTTATTTTCAGGATGGGTCTTATTTTCGGGGAAACCCGGTAGAATCGGTGTTTAAGATTTTCACTCTAGCACAAGAATAACTGAAATGTCTGGGTTTAATTTGTTTTAATTAATTTAATTAATGGCTGAGCTAAATTTCAGATTCCATTTTAAATCTTAACAGGCTTAAAAGATAGACCTGGTCAACTGGATAGAAGATCTAAACTTGAAAGAAAATAAATGTGACATGACAGTGCTTATATTAAATGCATGGGTACAAATTATGTCTTCGGACAGCAAACATGACTGCCAAGCGAGTACTGGAGGGCATCACACCAGATATGTCGCTGGAAGGCAAAAACACAAAACTGTGTCTTCTTTATTTTGGCCATGTCATGCAGGGGCAGTTCTCTGGTGGAAGCAATTCAGCTTGGAAGAGTTGGCGGAAAAAGGAAACCAGGTGGCTGGGCACCATCAAAGCTGACACCAGCCAGAGCACAGAACAACTCATAGAAGTGATTATGAGATAGATGCAAGCATAAGGCATTGTACAATTATACAAGGCATAATTGTAGAAGCATTTCCTTTTTCTCAAATCCACATGAAAATGGTTGATATTTATGACAGTTGTGGTGTCCCGGGGTACGGCATCACCTTTTGTGATCTTCTGGTAAGCAAAGTCAGTGGGGAAGCCAAATTCACTAAAGAACTTATTTACTGAATATAAGTAATTTATTATATTAACTTAATATAAAAGAGCCCTGGTGGCACAGTGGTTAAAGCACAGTATTGCAGGCTGACTCTGCCCGCAGCTTGGAGTTCGATCTTGACAGGCTCAAGGATGGCTCAGCCTTTCATCCTTCCGAAGTCGGTAAAATGAGGACCCAGATTGTTGGGGGCCATAGGCTGAGTCTGTAAACTACCCAGAGAGAGCTGTAAAGTGTTATGGGGTAGTATACAAGTCTAAGTGCTATTGCTGTATGTTGGGGACACTAAAAACAGAAAAGTGAGAGTTATTTGAAGATGAGTAGGCAACATGGAGCTCATGCAAGTAAGAAATCTATTTTCCTAACCAAGAGTTCATATGCTGTTAGTCTCATTCAGTTGCCATCTTATAGGTAGGTGCTACAAAAAAATCAACACCAATGTTTCCACTTTTAAAGAAACCAAATTTGGGGATTTGAGTGAGTTTCTCATAGAGAGAGCATAGATGTTGTCTAGACCTAGTAGACTTCTATGAAGGTTTTCCATGACTAGTTTTACATTCTAAGCTCTACATATTCACATCTTCCACATCACTCAACACCAGGAGCATCTCACACAAAAAAAACCCACCCCAAAATAATCATGTGAACATGTGGAACTTACATTGTATGGGGTCTCCAGAATTGGTACTTATTGCTGGAACAGGTATGCCGTCTGAATTGACACAGAAGCAGTTTTTTCCATGACACTGGACTGGCAGGAATTTTCCTTCTTTGGTGCATGAAGGAACAAACATCTCAGATCCTGCAGGCTGGTCTCTTATTAAGAGTTGCAAACTGGCCCTTTGCTTTTCACACACTGTAGGACACCGTGGGTTTGTCCCTCGCACTCTGGATCCGGGGATTTCTTTCCCCCTTAAATCTACACACCAACACTCCCCTCTATTACACTGGATCTCCTTGTAGTTCCCATCTGCAGTACAGTCAGGGACGAGGGCATCCTTGTCCTCTTCTGTGCAGTCTCTTGCTTTCAACAAAATCCTTACCACATTGCCTAAATCTCTGGTGACACTTTCTGGGACAGAAATCACATGCTTCAGAAAGCTGAAAAACTCCGGGGCTTCAAGAAGAGAAGCAAGGAATTGGATGGCATTCTGATTGTCCTCTAAACTGACCTTACGGCCAAAGCTGTCAACAAGAGATTGGCTCAGATTAAACTTCTCCTGGGAGCTTCCCTGCAAAAGTTGACCAGCCAGTTCACCGAATCCGCTTCTCATCCCAACCTGCTGGAAATATTTGTCCAGATTAAATTTGCTGTTTGGACCAAGAGCTCCTGTAAAGTTAAACTGGACCAGATTCTTCAAGAACATTCCACCAAAAAGGTTTTCTTGGAATCGCTTGGGATTGCTGGTGAACCGCAGGGCAATCTGAGCAAGTTCTCGTGAAGGAAACATCCCACCAACGGCTTCACCAAGGAGGGTTTCAAATGTGAGGAGCTGAACAGCGCTGGTTTTTCCTGAGGTGGAAGACAGCACTGTGGAACCCACAAAAAAGTCTCTGAATGAAAAAGGACAAAATCTCAAGGAGCCAACTAATTTCTGTGGCTCTGGAGTAGCAGAAAACAAATTGTTATGGCTGAAATGACCAACGGGGCCGTAGAAAAGCCTGGATAGAGATACTAGTCTCTCAGAGACACAGTTGGGCTCCTTGCCTAAACAAAGGAAAAGATAAGAGGTAATTAATTATTATGAAGAACACAAGAAGAGGCCTGAGACTGGTTCAGGTCAAGGTTCATCTAGACCAGCATTTGATATCACATAGTGACCAAGAAGATGCATCCAAAAAGTTCACTAGCAAGAATGTCAGGTGCAAAAAAATCAGGACCATATGTTAAGTTGCAGTTAAGAAGATTTATTTCTCAAGCCTGTAGACGAGAATCTAGTCAGCTAAAGTCCAGTGCTAAATTGGCACTAGATAAGGGCTAATGGAATTGGGGGGTTGGACTTAGACTATTTGTGGGACCGTAATGACGCAAGGCTGATGACTCATTTAACTCCACCCCCAGCTCTATCTGCTCTTCTCCTACAATGAAACTTCTTTCAATTGACGCTGTCCATACCTGATATTTAAAGTATATTACTTGTGATCAAGGAGGCAATGAGCATTAAAATTAACAGCTATTGGTGACCTATCCTCCTTGAATTTATTTTGCTTCCTTTAAAAACCATCTAAATTGGATGTCATGCCCAAAAGATGGTTCAAAATTCCATAAATTAAATCTGTATGGTATCCAGAACAGCTTTCCTTTCTTGGATTTTTGTTTCAATAGTCTCATCAACATAATGGAAAAAAGGGGGGGGGAGTTTATTTCCTTATATTTTAAGAATATCTCTGCTGGATCATGCCAAGATACAGCATTTGTTTATCACTGGGATTATTTAGATATTTCTGGGAAATTCACAAATTCACTGCTATTCCATTGCAACTGATATTTGGAGGAATTTTTTCTAGTTTTGACATAACATAAAGCTAGGAATGAAAATCCTTAATGACCGTGTTTCTAGCTTGACCTACCACAGATCGGTTGCTGTCCTCTCCTTCTTGTTCCAGGGATTTCCTGTCCTCTGCTGTCGACACACCAACATTCTCCATTCAGTTGACATTGTGTTGGCTTGTAGGCACCAATCTCTTCACACAATGGTTTATAATCCTCCTCAAAACGAGTGGCAGTGAAATATTCTATTTCACACTTAGAGGGGCCTTCAAAAGAAAAGAATTACAGAGTATATCAGCACAGGTTTTCATTCACATGTGCATTTGTTCCAGTGTCTGGCAAATATCCTGAAAAAACAGTCTAATGAAAAAATTCAGGAAATAGAAGACTCAAACAAGTGGACTACTGAAGGATTTTAATTGCATGGGTATTGATTTGGCTCTGCTCTGCATTCTGCATTTTTACTGTAGATAGATAGATAGATAGATAGATAGATAGATAGATGGATGGATGGATGGATGGATGGATGGATGGATGATATAGATATAGATATAGATATAGATATAGATATAGATATAGATATAGATATAGATATAGATGTACCAATAAATCAATAAAAATAAGAACAATCCTCTGATCAACTACTATGGATGGAATAGAAGTTGGGAGGAGAAAAACCATCTCATCTCACAAAGAACAATACAGGTAGTCCTTGACTTATGACCACAATTGAGCCCAAAATTTCCATTGCTAAGCAAGACATTTGCTAACTGAGTTTTGCCTCATTTTACAACCTTTATTGCCACAGTTGTTAAGTGAATTACTGCAGTTGTTAAGTTAGTGACACGGTTGTAAAATGAAGGTGGCTTCCCTATTGACTTTACTTGTCAGAGGGTTGCAAAAGGGGATCACATGATCCCGGGACACTGCAACAGTCATAAGTATGAGCCAGTTGCCAAGCGTCCAAATTTATCAGGTGACCGTGGGGATGTTGCAATGGTTGTAAGTGTAAAAATCAGTCATAAGTCATAAAACAGTCATAAGCACGGCCAGACAACTAGATACAAGGACAGTTTCCCCCCCCCATGGCGTCAATCTGCTAAACAACTAATCCTTACAACACTGTCAAAATACTTACTAAAGCTTTATTGCTATTATTCTCTTCATCTTTCTTATTACCTATCCTTATCTTCTTTGTTTCCTTGTATCTTACAATTTATATTGCTTTATTTAGTATCCTAGTATGATTTATGTTGTTTGCTTAGCTAGTGTCCTATGACTATCACCGTTGCATCTAATGATTTATGGTGAATGTTTTTTTATATTGATTATGATCATGATTTAACACTATTGCTTGTACGTACACAGAGGGTTTATGCACCGGAGACAAATTCCTTGTGTGCCCAACCACATTTGGCCAATAAAGAATTTCGGTTTTTTCAGTGCCGTTGAAACTTTGAATGGTGACTAAGCTAATGGTTGTAAGTAGAGGATTAACTGTAGATGTTGACCTGCCTTCTCTGGATCTGCTTTATCTAAACCCACAGAACAGTATTCTACGTACATCTGAATCTGCCAGTAGTTGCTAGTTGTACCCCCAGGAAACGTCTCTGTAGGATCCTATACATGCTACTTTCAGCAAAGGTGGGAACCGGTTCCAGCGATGCAAAAACGGTGTCATACACATTTTCAAGCAACATTTCCAGACCTGGGAAAGAAAAGAACATTTTAGTACAGCATCTTTATATATATATATATATATACGCGTAGAATTAAAAGTACCTTGGCGACATTTCGACGAAGTCACATTCGTCATCTTCAGGCTGGTGTCTTCAGCTTCGTGCTTCTAAGAGTGGTGTGTGATCGCAGCTCTCTTAGAAGCACGAAGCTGAAGACACCACTCTTAGAAGCACGAAGCTGAAGACACCAGCCTGAAGATGACGAATGTGACTTCGTCGAAACGTCGAAACGTCGCCAAGGTACTTTTAATTCTACGCGGGAGAAAACCCGAATAACTAAAGACCTACATACAAACACCCGCGAAAACCTCAGAAAACAAATATATATATATATATATATATATATATATATATATATATATATATGACAGTTTATAGTATTAAAAATTCGACTCTTGGGGATATTCATGATTAAAAGGTTGAACACCAAGAGTAAAAAGTACAAAAGAGTTAAAATTTATTGGGCCAAGCTTTCGCCGGGAACGTCCGGCATCATCAGGGCCATGATACAGCAATATGGGAGGAGTCTTATATAACATTGGAGTCTGCAGTCTGCATCCGGTATCGTGATCATGTCATTGGACCCAGGTGATTTGATAAAATATTATATATATAATATTTTATTGGTTTTCCAGTTTTACATTTGAGTATTTGGAAGGCAACGTGGTGATTGGGTTAATCAATAGTTCAGTAACAAAATCTTTAGTACATATCTCAGGTTACATCATCAAATATTTTAAACTCAGACAGCACATTGGTTGAAAAATTAATATATGTATGTAAGAGAAAATAAAATCTTTAAAAAAAAAAAGAATCGCCAAGAGTCGGACACGACTGAGTGGATAACATCATCACCATATCAGATGCGGCTATGCAGTCCTTTCAGTTTACTTGCAAAAATGGAGACTCTGTTCCTGGAAGGGCAGGCAGAAAACATCTGTATCTACCTCTTTAAAGCAGCTGCACAGAACCATCACACAGCCACAATCTCTAAACCTAAATCTACAATCATACCTTTGATATACAGGAAATCCTCGAGTAGAGTAAATTACAGTGAGATGAGGTAGCTTGTGGTTATATTTGGAGAATTGACCCATTGTCTTAACAGACTATATATGAACAAGACCATTGCATTAAGACTTACAACACTTCATTCAGTGACCGTTCAAAGTTACAACAGCACTGAAAAAAAGTGATTTATGACTGTTTTTTCACCCTTACAACGGTTGCTGCATCTTCACAGCTGCTGGATCAAAATTTGGTCTCTTGGCAACTGACTCATATTTATGACGGTCCCAGAACTGCATTATGTTGCTGGTTCTGCTCATCATTAAACCTTCTTTCCAAACAGCTAGCCTCCATTTTATTTCCAGCAGCCTCCATTTTATTGATTCCCAGCTTGGAACTGGACCTGATTTTTCTTCAAACAACTGTTAAGTTTTCACTTTTAGGAGACTCCTGCAGGTAGACTCACCTGTATCTTCTAGTTCTCTCCCAAGACTGTCTGCACAGTAACAGTATCCGTTGATTTCAGGAAATAAACTTCTGAAGGAACTAAACATTAAGAATGCTTTGGGAAACCTGAAAGAGAAATCCAGCTGTTAGAAAATTCAGTATATGAGATTTTTCCATGATGTAGCAAGGGACATTGTGGCTACTCTTTTGATATATGATTAGCATATTATTATTTATATTCTCATACTAGCTGTACCCGGCCACGCGTTGCTGTGGCTCAGTCTGGTTAAATGGAAAAGAAAGAAAAGAGAAAGCGCACATTTGTAATATGTTTAATTTCACAATGCTAGCGTGTGTTGCTTTTACGTCCAACAGATGGTGCTGTTTTTCAAAAAAAGCATGTTTTTACCTGTCACAGGTGTGACATCTATATAATAGTAGGTATATAAAAACACGTGCCTATTCGAATGCAACGTTGTGTCAAAATTTCAAAGCAATCGGTGAAGAACTTTCGGAGATTTAAGATTTTGAACAAACGAACATTTACATTTCTATTTATATATAGACGATTATCACTCTACAGACACCAGAGAGTGAAGTTTTCAAGAAACAGCTTTTCAGGCTTCAGAAAGTAACCTGTAACAGTATGCTCTTTGTTTTATTCGCAGATTGTCTTCAACTTATTTTTGAGGGATTGGGAACTGGAAGTGGTAATAACATGGGCCTTAGATCATTATCATTATTAAATATGATATTATTATTATAATATCATTATTAAATATCAGCTTTGAATCAGGGTATTTCACTTGACCTGGAACTAGGTTCAGCTCTCCATCCAAACATATCAATGGTCACCACTGATAGCCCAGATTACCTCCACTCACGGTGCTTTTACTAGGGCTAGAATGTCTTCTTGTCTTCCTAAATGGCAGGTGTAGGCACTAAGCATTGCAAAAAGTTCTTCCTACCTGTTAAAATGATGGATAAGATCAAAGACCATCCTATCGGTTGTGTTGACAAACTTGCATTGGACAGGCAGGAATTCTCCATCAGTTGAGCACTGTGGAGGGCTTTTTTCCCCAACGCCATGCAGAATGCGACGGTCTCGAATCTCACACCGGCCAGGACCTGACAAGCAAAAACATTGCATTTATTCTGGCTTCTTGGTTCAAGAATACCAGTTGTCAAATTTGTTCAAAAAACTTTCAGAAGAGCTTTTCCCCCATCCTATATTCATGGCTCATTCTCATCTTTTTACCAAGCAGGTCAACTTTTTCCATCTATTTCTCACTCTCTGATTCTCTAACTTTGAGAAGAGAAAGGATGACTGACAAGTTAAAAAGATAATGATGGAAAGGAAGGAAGGAAGGAAGGAAGGGAGGAAGGGAGGGAGGGAGGGAGGGAGGGAGGGAAAGAAAGAAAGAAAGAAAGAGAAAGAAAGAAAGAAAGAAAGAGAAAGAAAGAAAGAAAGGAGGGAGGGAGGAAGGGAGAGAGAAAGAAAAGAAAAGAAAAGAAAAGAAAAGGAAAGAAAGAAAGAAAGAAAGAAAGAAAGAAAGAAAGAAAGAAAGAAAGAAAGAAAGAAAGAAAGAAAGAAAGAAAGAAAGAAATAGATAGATAGATAAACCCCCAAGTGGCCTCAACGGCTCTCTTAAAAAATGCAAAGGACCAGCTGTCTGCAAGGAGTACAAATCTTTCCATTCCCCACCATCCAATCAGAGCTGAAGAAGCTTCTTGAATGAGAAGCGAAACGTCTTCAAAGAAAAACAAAGAAATTCCAGTTGCCTCCTGAAAAAAACACCTTTGGTGACTACATCTCGTTTAAATGCCTAATTATGTTTTGACTAACGACTTACATTGCCTTGGTTTTCCTTTCTGCCTGGTCCCATAAATCTCCATCCCTTCACCGTCGACACACCAGCATTGTACCAGAGCTAAGTCACACTGCACCGGGTCAAAGTCACCTGAATCCAGACACCGTGGGATGTAGGCAGTTTCACTGCTATTGATGTAGCGGCTGACCAGAATTTGCTGCTTTTGAAGCTGGCAGAAGGACAAACCTACAGCAGGAAGAAACATGAGTCCAATTTTCAGCTTTGCTGTATCAGGGCCAAATTCACCTGATATTGATCATCTCCAAATGGTTAAATTGATCATTCTATTCGAAAAGGAGAATATGTTTGAGTATGTTTTTCATTTGGATGCTACTTCTGGATTTTGTGCTTGTGTTGAGTTCAGTTTCCGTTATCAGAATTAAGGAAGTTTAAATTCCACAATACCAAGAGATCCAGACAGAAATATGTTTGTTTTAACCACTCAACCTGTTTGTGCATACATCAACTATTATTCTTTTTAACATCCCACCATACGTCCAAAAATATATCTTGAATGCAGGAAATGAATATATCAGAGAGGTGAGTCTCTCTCTCTCTCTCTCTCTCACACACACACACATACACAAACACAAATGCAGACCAGACGCCCTACTAAAATTCTTTGTGTTTTGAAACCGAAATTCACAACAAGGAGGAACTTACAAGTCAGAGATGATCCAGACCGCTTAGTGCCTGTGACTTCAATGCCCTTTTCATCTACACACCAGCAGGAAAGACCCTTTCTATCGCACTGTTTTTTCCTGGTGTACAAAATAGTGATTTCCAGCATTATTACGCTTTTTATACATGCGCAAGGTTTACAAACATCCGTAAGAAGCATCACTTATTTTCCAAACATTAGGTCATTTGGTATTGCTTTGATCCTACTTTCCTATGGGCCAAGATAAGTAAGGAAGTGGGTCAGTATCTTTTTGAGCTGATACCTTCCATAAAAATTAGACCAGCATTTTTCAACTTCAGCAGCTTTGAGATGTGTGGACTTCAACTCCCAGAAGTCCCCAGCCAGCATGGGGAAACACGTGCTGACAGCCATGTCTGGCTGGGGAATTCTGGGAATTGAAGTCCACACATCTTAAAAGTTGCTAAGATTGAGAAACACTGCATTAAACCATAACTCCTGGAATTGTTAAGTGGCATTGGATTCACTGGTAAGGAATAGGGAGATAGACAGACAGACCTAGAATGGGCAACATAGCTCAAATTCTACAAAATCCCATATGACAGCGGTTCTCAACCTATGGGTCGCGACCCATTTGGGGTCGATCGACCATTTCATGGGGGTCGCCAAGCAAGGCTGTCCGTCATTTTTTTCCCCTTTTCCGGCGGGTGCCTTACCTCCCTTGGGCTGGGCCAGCTGGTGGTCGGCCTGCTCCATCTCTGCCGCTTGCCAGCTACGCCTCGGCCGGCGCAGGGGGCAGAACCACGCATGCGCGGCGCTCCCAGGCAGGGAAAGTCCTCGACTTACGACCGGTTGGGTAGTCCTCGACTTACGACCCGTTTAGTCCTTGACTTACGACCCGTTTAGTCCTCGACTTACGACTGGTTGGGGGTCGCGGCATTAAAAAGGTTGAGAACCACTGCCATATGACAATTTCAAAATCTCATGAGATTTTCTCAAAATGTTTCAGATTTCGCAGGCAGAACCCAAGACCCAAAAACGAAAGATTGTGATAGAGTACACATTTCACAATGTTTATCCAACCAGCATTTGCCTTTGAGTCATCTCCTGACATTTTTGTGGCTAATACTATTTTCAGTACTTATCGCTAAGACATTGCGCAACTTTCCCAAAGTCTTTCTGTTCTTTTATTATTATTTTTTAAAATGTATTTTGTGAAACTGAAATGTCTTCAGTTTGATTCCTGGTTTATCCAGCGGTAGTAAAAATGTGGCTGGGAAATTCTGGGAGTTGAAGTCCAATCATCTTGAAGTTGCTAAGGTTAAGAAACACTGGTGTATCATCTTGATCAGGAGTCTCCAAACGTGACAACTTTAAGACCTGTGGACTTCAACTCCCAGAATTCCCCAACCAGCTTGCCTGGCTGAGGAATTCTGGGAGTTGAAGTCCACAAGTTTTAAAGTGGCCAAGATTGGAGACCCCTGGTTTAATGGATCAACATCACATAAGCTACTCCTGGTTAATATCCAGGTTCTCTAAGGAGGCCATGGTGGCAGGCAAACTATGACACTCCCGATTTGCTGAATCAAAAATCCCCATCTTTCTCCCCTACCAATTAACCATTCTTCCAGGAAATTGGAAATTGGAAAGCCAACGTTACCTAAACTGTCCATCTTCTGAGCACTGAGGGATGTAGTCTTCTCCATCATGAAAGGCCTTCTCTCTCTGAAGTTCACATGGACGAAGAGGCTGGCTTTCAGCCTCATACTCTACATTCGGAAGAAGGCAAAGTTATTGCAGCAAATTCCTTCTTCATATCCTAACCTCCCTTTGTTCTTTTTCCTTTTTTATCCCAAGGACTTGGGAAAGACAGAGAAGAGCTACAAAGATGATCAGGGGACTGGAGGCTAAAAGATATGAAGAATGGTTGCTAGAATTGGGGTAGGCAACCTCGGCTCTTTTATGACTCATGGACTTCAATTCCCAGAATTCCTGAGTCAGCTGTGCTGACTCAGGAATTCTGGGAGTTGAAGTCCATGAGTCATAAAAGAGCCGAGGTTGCCTACCCGTGGTCTAGTTTAATGAAGAGAAGGACTTGGGGTGACATGATAGCAGTGTTCCAGTATCTCAGGGGTTGCCACAAAGAAGAGGGAGTCAAGCTATTCTCCAAAGCACCTGAAGGAAGAACAAGGAGCAACGGATGGAAACTAACCAAGGAGGGAAGCAACCTAGAACTAAGGAGAAACTTCCTGACAGTTAGAACAATTGATCAGTGGAACAATCTGCCTCCAGAAGCTGTGAATGCTCCAACACTGGAAGCTTTTAAGAAGAGATTGGGCAGCCATTTGTCTGAAATGGTAGAGGGCTGTGTTGTGGGGACACAGGGCAGTACTTTGCACCACTCAGGTGACCCTGAGGACAGAGAAAAACTCCAGGAGGCCTCAACGACTCTCTAAAAGAATGCAAATGACCAGCTGTCTGAAAGGAGTATAAATCCTTCCATTCCCCACCATCTAATCAGAGCTGAAGAACCTTCTTAGACGAGAAGCGAAACGTTTTCAAAGAAAAAAAAAAGAAAGTCCAGTTGCCTCCTGAAAAAAAACACCTTTGGCATAACCATGATCCGGATGGCTGAAAATCTCCATAGACATCTCTCAAGTGGGGTATTGTGGTATTCTTATATTAATTGGCTCTTTGGGTCTTAAATCACAAAACACACTTACCAAGATGCTGGCCCAGATGATAACTATGGTCCTTTCCAATTCTAGGCTTCTATTAGTTTTATTCTAAAAGCAGATACCTGAGAACAAAGAGATTTACCTCTTTACTTACCAAAGATGCTGGCCAGGGCTCTATCGGTAAAGCAAAGGCAGGTGATGAAGAGCAAGGCCCTCATTTTGGGATGTAGGAGGATTGTCTCCCTCGCGAGGGAAAGGCATCCAACCTACACTCTGGGGAAGGTCTCGGCCAGTATTTTATAGCTGCTGCTGCCCCTCAAATAACTTTTCACTTATGAAATGGAAGACTGGGCTCTCAAGGGAGTTAGTGACGCAGGCTGTTTCAAGAGCCATTGTGTTGGGTCACGCAATTACCCATTTCAGTGTCTTTGCTTTTTCTTTCTCACTTGCCCTTCTAAAGGTGAGATAGAAATAAATTAAAAAAAAAAACACCAGGTGGCATAAAGGCAGTCCTCGACTTACGACAATTGAGTCCAAAATTTTCCATTGCGAAGCAAGATCGTTGTGAAGAGGGTTGAACCATTTTACGACTTTTCTTGCTACGGTTGTTCAATAAATCGCTGCAGTTGCTCAATTAGTAACACAGTTGTTAAGTAAATCCGGCTGACCCATTGACTGTGCTTGTCTCAAGGTTATAAAAGAGGATCACATGATCCCGGGACATTGCAACCGTCCTAAGTACATGACAGTTGCCAAGCATCTGAATTTTGATCATGTGACCCTGGGGATGCTGCAGTGGTCGTAAGTGTAACTTTGAACAGTCACTAAATGAATGGTGTAAGTTAAGGACTACCTACACATATTAAACCAACAAGTGCATATTTACCTATATAAGCACGAGCATGCCTACCTTATCTATAAGAAGAGTGGCAGAACCTGGGGGCGGAGTTAAACAAGGGATTAGTCTAGAATCCCTACATAGCCACAAGCAAACTAAGTTCAACCTCCCTTGAATTCCATGGACCCCTATCTAACTCCAAGCAGGTGCTCACCTTTGTTTAAGAAGATTCCTGTGCATAGGCATAATTAGCAATAAATCATTATAATTAGATCTTCATGTGTGGACCTGATCTTTAGTACCAGACACTATCTGACCTGGTAGGATGGGTAGATGTCCTTACGGGAAGGCAGTCCTGCAGGTAACCTGGCCCTGTGCCATATGCTTTAAAGGCAATGGCCAGCCCCTTGGAATTCCGTGCAGCTCATGCAATAGAGGTGTTACATGGCAAACCTAGGGGGGGCATTACTGTGCACACTGGTGCATTCTAGATTAGTTGAAGTTTCCAAGAGGTCTTCAAGGGCAGGCCCCATGTAGAGCGCATTGCAGTAAATTAAGATGGGAGATGACCAAGGCATGTGCAACGGTGAGCAAGGTCTTCTGTAAGTGACAATACTGCCGGCTAATTGATAAGCAGATCATAACCTTCAGTTAAATTATGCTCAGTATTCGGAAGAAACTAATATGTAGTCTCCTGTGTAAACGTCCCTTTAAACAAAAGCACCTGATCACCTGAGAGTGGATGATTGGTTTTTTATATATATCTTGATCTTCTGAAGTCCAACAAAGTGCAGGTAAAACTAGTCAAGTCCAGTTTCTTTGTATTACATTTGCTTTTGAGTAGCTGTTTACACTAATGCAATACACACAGACAAATGGAATTATTATTTCTATGCGTGCAGATTTCTTCAGGGATGTGTACGCCAACCAGCCACAGCGATTACAAGTTCTAGGTGTGGGTTACAGGCAGCCCTCCAATTATCACCTACCCATCGTAAGCCGTCCAGAGTTACCTTGACGTAGGATGGGTGGCCAATAAATGTTACAAATAAATTAAATACTTCGAAAGGGGACTTACGACCCAGATCTGATTTTCTGGTGGTTAGGCAGTCTCTTGCCGTCATGTGACCACACTTCAGGTGCTCCGCAACATAACCGCATTTATGGCCAATTGCAACACCCCGCAAGCACATGACCGTGTTTCATAATGGTTTTGCAAAAAAACTGGACGTTGCTTCAAGTTGACAGCCCAGTGACTTGAGACAGTCACTGTCATGGTTCTGAAAGCTCTTCAAAGAACTTTGAGGCATTGTTTACCGTAAAGAATCTTTAATTGCAACATAGCTTCCGCACGTACATAGAGAAGCCAAAATCTGAATTCTCCTCCCCCAACCACACAGTATCTAATCAGAATAAAGCTGGAAGGGACCTTGGAGATAATAATAATAACAATAATAAAGTTGGAAGGGACCTTGGAGGTCATCGAGTCCAACCCCCTGCTCAGGCAGGAACCCTACACCATTTCGGACAAATCTAAGCATAACTCACTCCTTCATTTAACAGTCATTAATCACATTCTCCAATTAGTTTGAAGTGTGAGCTTTCCCACCCGTTATCTCCTCTTATTACAACCAACCTTGAAGAATACTCTACTGAGATATTGTTATGGCTAACGAGTCCCCAAGCACATTCTTCCCCCTCCCCTCCAGCATCATCAATTTTTTACTCTAAAAGTAATACACAGGTTAAATAGAAAATGTCTGCATCTTCATATATTGTCAAGCAAGAACACCCGATTGACAGTCACCTTGACCACCGCAAACAGTGTTGCAAAACCAGGTGGGTCACATGACCACCGACCCATTTGGCCACTGTAATGGGCAGACTCCATCACAGTCACATGCCAAGGATGTTAGAAGCTAACCCTAGTATCTAATTCAGTGGTTCTCAACCTGTGGGTCGGGACCCCATTTCGGGTCGATCGACCATTTCATGGGGGTCGCCAAGCAAGGCTGTCCGCCATTTTTTTTGTCCGCCATTTTTTCCCCCTTTTCCGGCGGGTGCCTTACCTCCCTTGGGCTGGGCCAGCTGGTGGTCGGCCTGCTCCGTCTCTGCCGCTTGCCAGCTACGCCTCGGCCGGCGCAGGGGGTGGAACCATGCATGTGCGGCGCTCCCAGGCAGGGAAAGTCCTCGACTTACGACCGGTTGGGTAGTCCTCGACTTACGACCGGTTTAGTCCTTGACTTATGACCGGTGTAGTCCTCGACTTACGACTGGTTGGGGTCGCGGCATTAAAAAGGTTGAGAACCACTGATCTAATTACTGTGGTGAATTCTTGTTTCCCGCCAAAACCCTTCAAAGCCCTCAGTGTAAGCACATTTGCCTAAAGCCCACCTCAAATTGCTCAGGATTTAGTCAACCCTCCGAAAAGCAAACTGGACGAGACGGAAAGAGGGTGCGGTATGCAGAATAGTTTAATAAACAGCTTTACATACAGTACCTTACATATAGACAGTGTATTTGCAAATTTAAATACATTTTAATGTACAGTGGCTTGTACTCTTATCCTTGTGGAGGTTCAAGTTTATTGTCCTTCATGTAGTTCTCACACTTTTGTACACATTGCCAGCACTGAAACAATCTGGGAGGCCTTAAGTTCGATACTCTCTTGTTACTCTCAATAATGCAGCCTCTCTTGAACAGCCAGTATTTTTTTTAGAAAAGTATCTTTTTTTTTTTTACAAATTTCTGTACATATTGTTTTTTAATCTTCTTTCTCTCTCCCTCTCCTCTTTTTTAAGAAACAGCTCGTTAAAAGGCAACATTTTATTTGTCACCAAGGTTCTTTTTATCGTAAGAAAACTAGTCTTGTCAATATAAATATGTCTCTAGAAGGCAACGTGTGTATGAGCACACACATACACATTATATGTGTGTATATGCACACATACGCACGCCCACAAAGACATATATACATACCTCAAGAGGTATACTACAGCACTGGGTGCAGCGATAATGCAGGTAAACTAAAAGTAACTGGACTTGGCCCAGAATTTTATTTAAAAACCCAGCTAACTAGGAGGACTTTGGTTTCGTTAACGGTTTGCCAAATCATAACTGAATGACTTTAATAGGTAGTACATTTGCACCGTACCCCTTCCAGAAGGGGAGCTTCTGATTATCTGGGGTTCGCCGGGAGACTACACAGACCATGCCACGTTTTACAAATTGCTCAACTATTCCAAGATTTTTGGTTTATCTCCCTGGAATAAAACAGCATCAACCTTCGTATTTCAAAACTTCCTTTCATTTCACGTGACAAGAGAGTAAAAAGGTTGGGAGTGGACCCATTTCACAGCCAGTCACTGGCGGTTTAGACGCTCTTTCGATTCCCCAAGCCAGCTGAGGAAGGCGAGTATTGCAGCCCAGACCCAACCGTTAGACACAATATCCCTCAATACTTTTAATTATAGCTTGCCCAAATATGAATTTGATGCAATCCTGGTTGATGCTGGCAATATGGAGGACTTGATATGAGAAGTCGGGTGGGAGGGGGGGGAAAGCTCCCTTCAACTGACCTCGTGCCACTCCCGTTTCAGTATTTTTTTTTTTTAAAAAAACTTTTTTTGGCACTTCTGACCATGACTTTCCCGGTTTGGTTTCTAAAAATGGAGCATAAGATTCGATGCAAGGAAGGCTCGGCTTAAAAAAATATTCATAGAGAGGCTACTATAAAAAACAGTTTCTCCTGAAAGGGAAGCTAAGATTCTTTTTTTTTCATATTTTCATTTTCCTGGATTTCTACAGTACTA